AGAAATGGCCTACATTGCGAAAATTTAGTTTATGTGGTGCACTTTTGCACTCCACATCACGCATTTGTTTGAAAATTTATGGGTCATTTCATTGTCGCTTATTCTTTTGTGAAGTTCCCTGGTTCAATATATATTTTCAGGTCAAAAGGGAACTAGCCGAGTTGTTGAAACGTGACGGATTCAAGAATGTAAGTGAAGCGGTCGGCGCGGATCATCGACACTCCTAGTGTACGGCATAATTAAGACATCTAGTTCCCATTACGTTTTTCACCTGCGTTGAGGTGCTAATTTGATTAGAATTTGAGATTTTTGGCATAATCTACAATATGTAAAGTGTTCGGAACTAGCACATTGTCATATTGCTTTGCCGTTCAGGCTTATTCTAGGAGAGTCGCTTTATCCTAGACTTTTTACAAAAATTACTTCCCCAAGGACCTAAAATTTTTGAGGAATTCCGTACCTATTGCTTTCCCGGTGAAGTTCGATACCCGGTTAGGCGCTCAAAAGCTCCAATTACGCCCGGTCCACTTATAACAATCAGAAAAGCGAACCCAAATACCTCTGCCATGTGATCAACCTTCTAGAGCTTCATCAGCATTCACATTCACATTAGAATAATTCAGTACTGAAGGTCAAATAATGGGTTGACAGTTCTGCGATCATAATTCCCACCACCTTTTTTCTGTTACCGTTCGAAGCCGCTACACTCAACGACTTCGATCTTCCTTGGAATTTTAGCTTGCGGCCTGCATAAGGTGTAAAATTGGCCCAAGTGTAGTAAGGATGGACTCGCAGAAGATCCCGCCGAGTTTCCTCGGCCTAGATCTTTTGTATCCGGGTTCTCTTGTATTCGGGTAGTCTAGCTCTAACTAATGTGAACTCGCGCCTCCACTCACTCGATTACGGGATGACTTACTTGAATGTTTGACAGCTGGTCTCTCTGCCACACTCAGCTAGACTTTTGATTTAGTAGGTTAGCTACATATGAAAGGAAAAAGAGCAAGGTTTGTGGAGCATGCAAAGTGCATGAAGGGATGAAAATCGATGTAGCACTTAGTTAATCTGAAAAAATTAGCCACAATGTGGAAGACACCCATTTATTTCATTCCACTTTGACATTTTTCACATTTCATCCTGCTGTTTTCAAATGTGCAACTGTGTTGACAAAAATTTATGAAGTTTCTGTATCAAAGAATCGATATTGTTTAGATGAGCTGGCAGAGAGGTCGGCTGTCAACCAGTTGGGTGTGACCACGTCCAAGGTGAATGAATGGAGGGGCGAAGTGGTTTGTTCAGAACCAAAGCCCTCTCCCTTTCTGTTTGAGTTTTCAAGGGTTGTTGCAGCTACTCTTGTGCGTTTGGGCGCTTTCAAGGGCTACGACTACATCCGTTTAGGCATGTCGACCAAATAAAGCGGTTAAACTATTATAAACCAGTATGGCAATGCAAGACATTGTGTGAAGTTCCCAGGTTTCAGAAGACCGAGTGTATTTGATACTTGCCTTCCATAGTGGGCTGATTATTCGTGATGTTCTCATAGTTTGAAACACTGTCCTTTCCTGCTTTCCTGCCTTTCCATCACTTTTGTGTCGGATTATAATTTTAACCCGTAGGTTAAGTAGGTATTGTGTTGATTTTTGTAACACTGCAATTGTGCATATTATTCCGGTGAGTATGAATGAATTTTGTGTTATAAAGTAGAAAATAAGTGAATCAGAAGCGCACGTTGTGAACGCTGAGGTTTTCTTAATTTATAGGCTGTCCATATTTCTTTGAAATTCGAAAGTTAGTAAGTTGGGAGCTGTTGAAACATGGCCAACATCTTTTGGTTTTCCATTTGCTTAAGTATTCGATGTGTCGCACACCCAAAAGGGGGAGACGAGCAGAAGGAACGGTTTCGTGTAGTCGATCCGCCGCACGCGGCTGTCGCGGACCATTTGCCACATATCTGTTCTGTGTTCCTCATACAGCTTAATTGCCATGCAATTATTACTTTTGGCATGATTCTACTGTTAGTTCTTTTGTTCCTGTATTTTTTACTTGCTTCTGCATCCTGCTACATTCCTTCGCGCGCGACGTCTCTCGCCGGGAGGCGACAATTTCATTCCTACTGCACCACACACAAAATTGTCTGGCAGAATTTCAGCGTATTATAATTGATGCTTTTTCTGGTTATATATCTAGAGGCTCTATGTTGTTGGTTAAAGTGATCACGTAGAACCAGCTCAGTCACCCATTCTGACTGTAGTTTTATGTTTTCGAAAAACAGTTATGATCATCGCATTGAAATGCTTTGTATTTCCACTGATTACTGCAGCTGACCATCAGTTTTGTAGCATCACTGTGATTTCTTCCGTGGTGCGACCTTTTGTTTCTGGGAGGTACCTGAAAGGAGCAAAAGTACAGAATGAAGCTATTATCTCGGCAAGTGCAACAAGAACGAATTTCACGTTTATTACCCTCAACTGCAACTTTCTTCAAAACAGCAACTTGTATCGGTTTGTTTGCTGGTCTGGTCTGTATGTTTGTCTGTGTGCCTAGGCGTGATGTTACTGATATTTCGGTGTCAGGGCGGATCTGGTGTGGTGGCAAGTGGCGCACTATCTCCCGGATCGATTCCGCTCAGGCCAACCAAGCCTTCCATTTCTCCAGGGTCGGCTAATTGGTACCAACTCGTCGGGAGAATAAAAGCACTGACGTGTACATCGGCTGACTACTGCAAGTCATTGTATAGGCCACCCACGCTCTCATTACGAAACTACGATTCTAAATGGAAGTCCGGTGCGGGGGCGCATCCTTCAGATGGGATTGTTAACGCTAAAAATTTTATCCTTCAACTACTTTATGTCGGCGTCTATCTCGCCACAGTAATTTTGATCAATTTATAGCGATTGGTAGTGACAGGTTTCAGTACTGAGCTCTTTTAGAACTGGGTTATCAGTGCATACTAGTAGTACATATTTCGGGTCTAATGTGTCAATTGATACCAAAAATGACTAACGACCTTCTGCTGTTCACGCGGCCCTGTGAGTAGTGAATTTATGCAAAACTATGAGGTCATCTGCAGAATCGTACTTGCGTAAGAGGAGGACATTAGACAGCTTTCGCTCATTCGATCTCAGGCAGTATTATGCTGAGGACTTTCTGGGGTGGAATATTGGTCCATAAATATCAGTGATCATTTTGTTTTCCTGACAGAAATATTACCAAAAAGAATTAATGTCTTCGAGGAAAGCGATGGCCTACCGATGAAAATAAATGGCGGATAGAGTCAGCGGAATGATAAAGACGAGGAACGACAGAGCACCAATCGAAGTATTAAGAGGGTAGTAGACTATCGGTGACAAGAAACACGACACGTATCTGAAATATTCATTTTATCAGTTTTGTATTAATTATATTATCCATTTAATTGACTCTGGTCATATACATATATACATTTAATTGGGCTGGCGTACTGGGGGATTGCCTTCTTCAGGGCTTGAAAGGATCATTAGGATTTGTGACATTCCCTACTCAACCACGTATTTCAGAAAGCAAGAGCTACACATTGATTGTGATCTCAGTCTCTGGGTTTTTGCCGCCGGATTTTTGAAGTGCTGAGCAGGTTTTAAAAGCAAAACACGCCATATCACATTTCACGAAAGCAAGCTCATGGTATAAATGTGGAAGTCGTAGACCAGCATTCGCAAGTGGTCGGTATCAGCGGTATTTCGCAGAGATTGGAGGCTTGGCTATGGGGCTGCGATTGGCCCTGTTTTGGCTACAGTACATGTGATTGCTACGGAGTGGTACAGAAAGCACAGCCATAAGTATAGCGTTGTTCATTGTTACTCAGCTCATCGTTTTTGCCCAAAACGAGCCGTTCTCGGGAATACGCTTTGCACGGTTGTGATCTGCACTGGAGAGAAATAGCGAGAAGAGTCGCTTGTGAAGGCACACGATATAGCTCAGCTGAAAAACTGCCGCAATTTTCGACCAAACATGGAGCTTATTCTGGGGGAACGTTCCGCAGACATGGTGGTGCCTCGATTAATGGAAGATTCCCTTCGCATTACCATTTATCTCTGATGAATTCAGTGCCACCACGAGAAAGTGTCTCAATTAAGAGATTGGGTCTGGGAATTCAATAACTATTGTAGAAGTTCCATCTTTCAAAACTAAGAAGTGCTCGATTTGAAACAGACTATATGACCCCATGTGAAATCAAGCTGTCAAGCAAGGAAATTCATTGTACAGTTCTGGGGTGGTCTGCAAAACATTTGCTGTGTTCGTGGTTGAAAGTTATATGATAACGGCAAGACCACTTCACGTGAAGATCGTAGAGCCCACAGATGGGTTGGACCGATTGAAAGAGTCTACTGCCTAAGAATACCACTGAATTAGAACCAAAATAGAGGCGTTTTTGAGGTAATTGTGGAAGTTGTGACAAAGAGTCGCAATTGTGCGTCCCTGAAGCTCTCGAAGCATATCGGATAACAGGGCCGATTCAAAAAGGAATCGTATGGAAGGTTGCCTCGAAACACGCGGTTACGCCCTTATGTAAGGTTAGCCTTCCCGTTGTGACTTTGATGAAGACCTAGACCACTTTGCACTGGTTGGCTGCTACAATCGAACGAGAGGGGGTTTGAAGAATTCACAAAGCTACGGTGAGTAGTCTCATATCGAATCATCGTGTGCCTGGATATCTCGACCCAGCAGGGTAGCCGAGGTGTTTGATCAGATACCGAATAGCCACAAATCGTTGCTGTTTTCGAGCTCTGAAGAAGGCGATCCTCGGACTTCGTGATGACTCCAAGCAAAAAAGCAACTCAACAATAATTTCGAATCTTTTAAGACAAAGAATTCCTTTTCCAGAAAAATCTATAGGTAAGTGATATTGAACTCGTCAGTTGCTCCTCTATACGCTTCACCTAGTGAATGTTACGTATTATAGTAGAACTCGAATCCCATTTCTAAATAAGTGGTAACTTGCTTACGATAAACAACGAAAGCCAATTTTAAAGTGATAGGTAGGATGAATCATGTCTGGGCTCCAGAACATTTGAGCTGAAACCATGTATAGAACATGAACATTTGAGAAAGATAGCTTATGAACAACTGACTGTGCAGCGACACTCATGGATTGTATTCTTGCACGAAAACCTGCAGGAGCCATTTCGGCGCCAAGAAACCATGCAGTTGGCCCAATACCAGCACTGAAAACACTCCATATTGGTGGTGAAATATTCAAAGTACTGAAAAGTAAGCAACTCGCACCTGAAGGTAAACAAGAAAACGACGAACAACAGAAGAAATCCCCATCCAACCCAAGATTGCTTCGTAGCGTCGAAGTAATATGCTAGTAGCATCATAGCGGTGTTCACAGCAGCTAGAAACAGCAGTGAGCCCAGCACCATTACGCGACGACCAATCTGAAGGTGATCGTTTCAAAATCTTTAACGCTCCTTTACATCAGTAGCTGTACACATAGATGACACCAGATCCAAGGGCAGGCTTCCTCACACCCATGTGATTCAGTTTGCTTCGGGACTTTACATAAATGGAAACATAGTGAAGAGCATGATTAAATATTGTCAGAGGTGTCCTGCGAACTTTCAACTGTAGAGGCACACGATTGCACGATTTTCGATCTCTGCTTTTCCCTGGTGAACCCATGATTGCTTGAGTCAGTGTTCAATATCTCTATCATCGAATCGAACTGCGGCTAGTCGACTCTGGAGAGATAGAAGGCCTCGCTGACTCGATAGAAGGATGGTTATGAATTCTATGATTGATATTCAGGTAGGACAATAACTTCGGATGCTGTTTAAAGAAAGCAGTAACAGGTACTAAATGCACTGCCACGCATCGTCAAACACAGGTTGAAAAGTATCTGACAACGAGCATCCGCACAATCGGACATGGCAAATCTGGCATGGCAAGTTTAATTTGCTCTCCACTTTCATCCTCATTTACAGCCGCCATCGGTTCCTCCACAATTCACAATTCTACAGCTATAAGGAGAGATCTGATTATCTGTATTAACTGTCGTCCCGTTGATTAGCGATTTAATCGAGCAGGCCACTAACGTCT